AAAACTTCCAGAACACGGCCACACAGTCCGGAAGACCCACACCAGCCATCGTATTCTGGCTGTGAAAGCCTTTGACAGTACATTTTGCTGGATTGTAATTTTGCTCCCCAGAAGTGCTTGCACCACTGCAGACTTTGCTTTTTCCTCTGGTTTTTACAGTCTTTGGACAAATGTCCACTTTTCCCATAATTGTACCAACCACAGGTCTCTCTTCCCAGTGTATTCCTTTCATTTGGGCAGGAGCCAAAGGCTTCTTTACACCTTTCTCCTTCAATCCTTCCCATTCTTTATGATTCTTACTTTCTAACACAGGTTTTCTTATTCTCCTTTCTCCTTCTGTATCTCCCAATCATCTTCTGCCTTTTTGCTGCCACGTAAGCCCCAGCCAATTCCACTGCCCCTTGGCTTGTTTCTGGGTGGTGCTCCTGCACTCAAAATCTCCCTTTGGCAGGGAGTATATATAGAAACTGTTACTTCTTCTACCACTTTTTTTTTGTTCCTTTCATCTGGCCTCAATAATTTCCTAACTAGGTCTTCCAGTCTCACCCACAATTCATGAACCTCTTCATGTTTGTCATAAGTGTAACTCCTAAACTGCTGCTGATAAATATAAGGAACTACATCATTTTAGTGTAGGATTATCTCTTTAACATGATAATAATCAGTTACTTCCCTAGCTAGAAAACTGTTATAAGCCCTTACAACTTTTCCTGCTATACTGGTAGCCAGCTGGGCCACCCATTCACTCTTAGGCCATTTACAAGAAGTAGCAATCCTTTCAAACATAGTAAAATAGGCCTCTATATCGTCTTCCTTGGTTAATTTAGGAATTTTGATATCTTTGGGACTACTTTCCCTCCCTATATGTTGAGGAAACCCTAGAGGTGAGTGTGCCCCTCCTGGAGGCTAGACTCCTTTAATTAGGTCTATCAGCCCTCTAAACGTCTCTCTTCTAGCCTCTCTCTCAATCTTTTCCCATTCTAACCTACCCTTCCTCTCTGTCTCCCTCCAGATCCACTCTTCCTCTTTTTTAATTAATTGAAGCCTATCTTCTTGCTGTTGCCTCAACATTTCTGATATGATATTGGCTCAAGTATATGGGCCTAGCCCCTTTTCTGGATGTTCTACCTTTTTCTTTGTTTTAACTACAGACTTAGGCTGGACACCTGTCTCTACCCAAGTAGTAGCCTCCTCTGAGGAGAAGCAGCCCCTTCTACCTTTTCTATCCCTATTTGTTTGGTGTAGGCTGTAGTGACAGGCCTGGTTTTTGTAGCCAGAATGCTGGCTATTGCCTACAAAGTCTGAGGTTTACGAGGGCCAAATTTTCTTCCTTTAGCACATAAGGCTTTTTTACTTCTCATGTACAGTATTCCTTGAGTCTGAGACAATCCCACGGCTACCACCAATTGTCACATGTTCTTTTTTAAACCATACCTAATCAGATTGACCCAGACCCAGGAAACCACTGGGCCAGGCGGTTTCTTTATATCTCCCTATAAGGGATGGGGAGACTTTTTATTTTGTAAAACAAAGGTATAAAAGTGATGTGTGTAACTTACAAATATATATGTGAGTGCTTCTTATTACTTCTATCCTATCCTATATTTTAGTTCTATTACTGTTACTACTATGCTATTCCTATGACCATTACAATTTTCTCTATGTAATATTCTATTACTATTACTTCTATACTCCATATTATTGCTACTATATAGCAATGTTTTCCTTTTACAGAGCCTGTTCTGTCTTAATTCCTCTCTCTGGGATTTCTTCTACTTTTTTCTGTTGTGCTTGTTAATGGCCAGCACATAGAGCTCTTGCACCTTTCCAAGTTGTGCTTTCCCATGCTGGGCCTCTGTATTCTGTTGTTCTCTGGACCACCACTCCCTCTGAAGGAAAAGGCCTTCTTTCTATTGGCTGCTGCACTTGTCAGTTTACTGGTGGCTGTAGAGCTCCAAAAATACATGTCTCCTCTTCCCTCTTCCCTTCTCCTCCCACACCGGTGTCAAGATTGCTGCTTTATTGACAATTCTGCCATACTTATGCTAGGGGAAAGGCTCAAATGGGAAAGAAGAAAGGCAAGTTCCTACAGTTTTCTTTAGCAGCCTGCTCTTCCACAGTGACCTGCAGTTGGGTCCATGCTGTAATGTTGGCCTCCTCAAGAGGTTGTTCTTGGACCTAATAGACTTTGATAATGACCAGTCTCCAATCTTCCCTTTCTGGGGTAAGTTGTTGAGAAGGTGGTTAGTCTGCAGCTGATGAGAACCCTGGAAGAGACAGATTATCTAGACCCATTTCAGTCAGCTTTCAGGCCAGGATTTAGTACTGCGACAGCTCTGGTTGCACTTGTAGATTACCTGCGGTGGAGGTGGGATGGTGGTGATGAATCTATCCTTGTGTTCCTTGATCTCTTGGCAGCTTTTGATGCTGTCAACCATGGTATCCTTCTGAGCTAGTTTTGGGGATTGGGGGCACCATTTTACAATGGTTCTCTTCCTTTCTCTGGGGCGGGTTCCAGTTAGTGTTGTTGGGGGGTGGGGGAGAGATTGCTCCCTAGGCCCCTCCTGTGTGGGTTGCCACAGGTTCTATTCTCTCTCCCCTCCTTTTCAACAGCTACGTGAAACTGTTGGGTGAGGTCATTCACTGGTTTGGGATTCAGTATCATCAGTATGCTGACGATACCCAATTATATCTTTCAACCCTGGGCTGGCCAAGTGAGGCTATTGAGGTCCTGTCTCAGAGCCTGGAGGCTGCGTGGGTTTGGATGCGGAGGAACCATTTCCAACTTAGGCCTACCAAGATAGAGTGGCTGTGTCTTCGTAAGACACAGATCTGGGGATATTTCATCTCTGACCTTGGATGAGATGGCACTTCCCCATTCAAGGATAGTGCACTACTTGGGGATTTCCTGGACTCACAGCTCCTGCTCAATAAGCAGATGGCAGCTGTGGCCAGGAAGGCCTTTGCGCAACTCCATCTGGTGTGCCAGTTGTGCCCTTTCCTAGATCAGGAGACCCTTCAGACAGTCACTCATGCCCTGGTCACCTCATGGGTTGACTATTACAATGCGCTCTATATGGGGCTACCGTTGAAGATCATCCAGAAGTTTCAACTGATCCAGAATACAGTGGCACAAGTAGTGATGGTCATGCCTTGGTATGCCCATGTAACACCTTTGCTTTGCAAGCTGCACAGATTGCCAGTTTGCTTCTGGGTATGATTCAAGGTGCTGGTTGTTACCTTCTCTGTCGCAATGTCTGCGCTCTGGAATGAGCTTCTCCCAAGATCCCCCCACCCTACTGGTGTTTTGGAGGGATCTGAAGATCTGGCTCTTTACCCAGACCTTTGGTGGGATGACTGGAGTTTCTTTTTAACTTAGGTTGTTTTCTTTTGTTTCTACCCAGTTTGTTATTCTGCCACCTCTATCCTTTTTTGTTTCTTGTTTTTTTTATTGTCATGTTTTTCATGTTTTATATAATTTGTAAACTGCCCAGAGTCACTGGGAGTTGGGCAGCATATACATTTAATAAATAATAATTTATTTGTGGCTTATATAGTGATGCAGGAGTCTACTCTCAGAAATGGAAGACTCAACAATGTGAATGTTCTCACATTTAGCATCCTACTGTTCTAACATTTATGCAATAATTTTGATTATACAGTAATTTTAAGTACAAAGATATATCTTAAAGTGAGTCCTGTAATATTTATATCTAATGTTGTCTGCCTATTTAATATCAATGTATTGTTTTTAACAGATGTCTGCAGTGGGGAGGAGTTACTTCCATGTTCATTGGAACCAGTTTGATCTACTAATCATAATCACTGGAATTATAGATGTTGTAGTTATTAATGTTGGTAAATCAATGAGTACATCATCTGCTATTACTTATTCTGTCAGGATATTACGGTTTGTTCGTGTTATAAGAATTCTGCGTCTCTTGAAGGTAAACATAACGATGTTATGTTCTTGTAGTTGAAAAACTTAGGTTTTCATTTGTTTCAGAATTGTTTAAAAAATAAATTGTTAAAAAATATTTGTACATTATTAATAATGGTTTAGCTTAAATCCATTTATCTGTATAGTCTGTTGACTATAAACATTAGATTGTTGGACTGTTCAATTAAATTCATTTAATGTTATGGTCTCTGCTAATTTGGGGGTGCAGTCCAAACACTTATGGAGTGCATCAGGTTGGGAAGGCTTGACGTACTACCTGATTTTATTCTCAGAACAGGAAGAGGCACTGAATATGCTTCTCAACAGTCTGTCTTTTCCTTTACTATAAGCTTCATGAAAACAATGCCCAGAAAAAGACAGTATCATCTATTCATATCTCTGAGTATAATTTGGGAGAGTTTGAATTTGAAATGAGATAAAGACTATGATTTCTACTTTGGTTTATCTGGTGTTAGTTTTTGAGAGGCACATTATATTAAAATATTGTCAGCACTCATTTTGTGATGGCCAACTATTCTGGTTACTGAAATCTTAGATTTTCCTACTAATGCATAGTACAAAAAAGCAAAGATGGATATTCCATGAGATTGTGTCTATTCATCACTTAGTAAGTGGAAAAAGGTAGACTTAACCAAGTGAAGTCATAGTCGGAAAGCCAATAGCACATTCATACATGACATTTTTCATTTTGGAATCTCCTTAAGAGAATTTTCTTCTCCATCTCTGGAAATTTCTTTCTCTTTTTTCTTTCTGTTGCATGTACGTGCTGAATGATGTTTTTCATGGGCAGATAATATTGGAATTCAACTTTGCATGTGCTGGTTTTCTCCATCTATAAATTTACTGACTCATAGGGCAATAGATGTAGAGGTAATAACAGAGGGACTCTGCATATTTATCTCCTCTCATCTAAAAGATTTACTTGGTATTTCTTCACATAATAAAGGCCTATTGGTTAGATTAGTATTTTCAGGGCTTTCATCATTTCCCTCCTCTGTCACTTCAGTTCTATTTGTCACCTGACACCGATCTATGTGATTCAGCATTTACCTGACTTTCCCTCTGTCCATAGTGGAAGAGAGCACACTATATGCTTTTAACTATAAATAGACTTAATTAACTTAGGCTTTCCTATCTCCATATTACTTCCTAAAGAAGCCTATTTTATTTTTTTCATACAAGTACCAGTCTTAGGAATGTTATCTTACAAAAGTTGTAATCCTTACCTTAGCATCTCTCTCTCTCCATGCATTTGTTCTGCTGCATAAAGCTATCTGCTCTCCAACAGATAAGTCTTATTGATTGTATAGCTGTTTCTTAATAGTAGGTATTTCCAAATAGTGGAAGAGAATTTGTCTAGAAAGAGAAAATCATTGGCTGATTTTTTCTCCTAAATTGAAAAAGGACAATGCTTTCCTATCAGCTTTTCTTTTAATTAAACAGATTGGATTACATGGGTTTTCATGGGATTACATCTCATAGCATGATTCTTATCTGGTTGAGCAGTACAAAGCAGAATAGATCCAATTACCGTTACATTAAATAATCCCCTTTAAATTAACTCTTCTTTCTTTTTAGGAATATACCTACTCCTTTTATTGGCAAACTCTTTCATTCTACACTGCAAATTTATCAGAGCCTCTCTTTGAATATTCCTAATTTCACACTCAGTTCCCTTCTAAATAATTTCTAATCTCTTTCCAACCAAGCCAATTTGCTCCATAATGTTCTTCACCAATACCCCTCCTTACAGTCATTCTGTAGCCTTCTCAAAACTTTCCCAAGCTCCCAAACCTAAAAACAACCAGTAGTAAGGTTAACACTTTTAGGTATTAACTTGGCAAGATAATGCAAAATGAAAGGTTGATCTTGAAAGTCATGTGAGACGCAGCAGCATTCCTTATAAAGAAAATTATATTGGGTAGCTACAAGCCAAATGTAGGTTCATTTATTTCATCAGCTTCACTCATCGTTATTCAAGGCACAATTCAAAGTGCTAATATGACATAAAATGCCCAATGTAATTGGGTACCAAGGATGTTTCCAGGGGAGCCATTTACTGCACAGTTGCCTTTCTTCATTAAATTTAACTGATGATGGTGTTCAGATAGTGTAATCTTGCATACCTTCAGGTGTTCTATGTTTTCTTACTACTTTCTCAGTCTTTTTTCTCAACAGAAAAATGTAAAAGTGGAAAGGTGCAGAAATAAGGAAGGTAGGTTTAAAAAAAAAAAAAAACTAAGAGAGATGAAGCAAGCAACGCTACTATGGTTGGGGAGTTGGAAAAGCTGTGGAGTTCCGAAGAAAGCTACAGGAAAGCTGGGAAGGAATAGGGAAGCTGACGAAATTAGTATTGTTGTGGGGAAACCTGACAAAGTAATGTTGGAATTTGGGAAGGTGAAACAGGAGATTAACAGAAATACCCTTATTATGGGGGAGTAAGACAAGGTATAGAGGTGGACAAAGAAGTAGCTTTAATGGGAAGAATGATACAGAGAAACTACAGAAGGGGTGTAGAAAAAAATACTGATTTTTAGTATGTTATCTATTTCAGCTAGTGATACCCACAATGATTTTCTTGTTGAATAAACAAATAAACAGACAACTCACTTTCCGATACGATATTGCCAAAGGATATGTTCAAGGTGAAGAAGATATAAAATGTTTAATTGGACAGATTGCTGGCCATGAGAAAGTTTATGTTGTGAGTAAAATAGCCATATATTTAAAGAGAATATGTATCTGTCATATCATTCTTCATTTATTTTCTTTAAATAATAATAACATATTTTGAAAATATGTTTATATCACAAAAACATTATTACATAATACATTGCTACAACATAATATATATGAGTGCACAAAGCAAAAGTTAAAGAGACCAAGATTATGATACTGAACTTCTAGAAAGCAGTTCAGTTTCATTTAAATGATTATGTTATTGGTACACTCCACAGACTGATTCTGTTTTCCATCAGAGAGTGCAGCCCCCAGAAATATGGAGTCCCTGTTTAGAGGCAAGAAAATGCTTCTCTTCCAGATATATTCATTTCTTAAAAAGGTTAAGTATTCTTATGGAAACTCAGTGCAAATATATGAATAGTTAGGAGAGTGAGATTTCTAAGACATGCTCCCTTTTCTCATGATTATGAATTTCTCCACTGTTTCCCCTGATTGTCATAATCATGATTCACAAATGTATGTGGGTGGGTGTTCTAGCAGAATCTGTTTTAGAGTTGATTTGCATTAATATCTCTAAACTTTGAGATGGAGCAAAGTAAGGTATAGATGACTATAAACAATTTATTTAATTATTTTTATTGCACTCTATCTAAAAAAATAATTGTCACTAACAGCATAAAAGACATCATATGTGGAAAAAGTCATAGGGAGTAAAGAAATAGAAGAAGCGAAAAAAAACAAGCTTAGCATTGTGCTCTGTAGCCCATTGGGAAGAGTGCTACTATTGAAAATGGTCTTGCTTGGATATTTAGAATTTGAATAATATAAAACATATATTCCTTTTTAACAGGAAATTAACAAAATTTTGGGAAAAAACAAACAAGAAGCCATGAAAGAGTTAGGTATGCATTTAAAGAGGTTATCATTATTATGAACATTAATATTGTTTTCATTCCCATTAATGGAGCATTAATTTCCATAGTGTCAATTCTTACAAAGCCAAAACAGCATTTTCTATGCACATGAAGGACCTACTCAAAGCAAGCACAATCAGAAACTCTTTAAAAATAATTGAAGAGATGCCCGATATTTGTATATTAGCATCTTATTGTTGAAAATCAATACAGGTGGTCCTCAGTTAGCAATGGCATTTGGGACTGGAATTGTCATAGCTAACCAACACAGTCATAAAGCACAATGTCATGTGACCACGCCACTTAGTGACGGCAATTCCAACACTCCTGGTTGGTGTCATTTAAGCAAATTACCACAGGTCATTAAGCAAGGATGTCATGTGGTCATCAATTGTGACCTCATGGCAGCTTCCCCATTGACTTTGCTTGTCAGAAGCCAGCAAAGGAAGTTGCAAATGGTGGCCGTGTGACCTTGGGATGCTGCAACGGCTAGAACTCCAAGGACCAGTTGTAAGTACCACTCATTAAGTCAGGAGCACTTGTAAAGAATGGCATCATAAGTTTGAACAGTCACTGAATGAGTGGTCATTAAGTGAGGGCCAACTGTAAAGAATTTTCAATTTTGGAAAAAGAATGCTTTGTATTTTTGTTGTCTGTCCTTCAGTGTGATATAGTGAGTTTTGCTATATTAACATATTGTAATCTTGTATATCATGTGAATGGAATTCTGTACTTATTCAGAGCCTTGTTCAGAACATTCTAGAATTTAGATTTTTTTTTTTTAGGCATGACATCTCAGTTCCATTTCTGCATATCTCCAAAACTGCAGTTGCTGCTAGTCTTGGGGGAAGGGGCATTTATTCCTAAATAGTTTTCCTTAACTTGAATGGTATTTATCATTTTTTGTATGAAAGATATTTTTGTTTACTTTAGGGTTAATGCAGCGTGACTATCCAGATATTGTCATTGCTGTGAAAACCAAACAAGCAGTTCAGACTGTGCTAAATACAGCTTTTGAAACTCTTAAATTTATGATATCAGGAGGAATTGTGGATAAAAATGAAGGAGCTGAATTAAATAAGGTAATTCAAACAAAATTATACATATAACTATGAGATATTTCTGTTAATATAGAAAAAAATCTTCAGATTATATTTACAATTTTTGGATGCTGGGATTTCCAGTTTTAAAAATGAGAAAGCTGGAGGTAAAAGTAAGCACTATTTTTATTTGCCTCATATTGATACATTTTCATTGAGAGAATTTTTAGAACATTAAAAAGCTGCATATTTGCTTATTGCACAGATTTGTGCACAAAATTTTGCAAGCAAATATAAGTTGCTCCTACTATTATCTGGAACCTGAGATCAGTGCTGAGACAGATTTTTTGCTTCTTCCTTCTGATCTGAAAATTTCTCGAAGATAAACTCTCTTTCTGCCTTTCTTTGTTGTGCCCATAATCACTATAACCTGTAAACCACTGCTTCTGCTTCCTAATTTTCTGACATTTCAATATTATTTTAATCAAGGGCTTTAATTGTGTACTCTCAGCATATTTGTTATCATATAATGAACATTTTGATATAATGGTACCCCATAACCAAATTTTGTTGTATGAAGAAGAAACTGAGAGCTAATTAAACTTTCCAGTTGCTTCAACTTTGGTAGTGGGTAGGTTAGATATCAGATCTGAAAAGACTTCAGCAAGGTAAACTCTAGAAATCTTAAGGCATTGCACTAGGAGCACTAAGATTTCCAGGTACAGTATGGTGAACTGGCCTGAGTGGGCAATTCTTTTTCTCTATTATTTATGTGTCCCCCCCCCCATTTTAATTTTTATTAAAGATTTAAAGTACAATAATAAAAGCAGATACAAATTAAACTCAGAAAAAGAAAGAATAAAAAGTACAAAGAAAGAAAAAGAATGGAACACAGAAAAAAGGGAAAGAAGTAGAATAAAGAAAAATAAAATAGTAAAGAAGTGACTTCCAGTCTTCATCACAAATAAAAACAAATTTGATAACTCATCACCACTTATAAAGTTACAAACAAATATCTCTTCTTCCCATAACCTGTCCCTTCTATCTACAAAACCATAAATCATCAACTTTTCAGTCCCAGTGTCAGCCAAAAGTCTGTAATGAGTTACCAGAGCTTTATAAAAAGATGTCTTATTTTAACCTTGATCAAACAAACCAACTTTATATTCCTTTCTTTTACTTCTAACAGCCTTGATCTTTAATTCAATCATGTCTTTCTTTTTCCCATTGTGGAGGCTTCTTCGAAGCTTTAGCAGACCTCTTTTGTAAAGTGGAAAGTCATTATCCAGGTCCTTGTCTTGGTTTTTCCCTTTGATTTTCAAAGCTTTATCCAACTTCTTTTATGTATTCAGTAAAAAATCCTTAGGGTTGTTCTCTTGGCTCTTCTCCATCTTGTAATCCACACTTTTCCCTATAATTTGTATTTCCAGTTTGAATGCCTTGTTGGTTTTTTTTAATCCAGTATTTTTTTTATCCAATGTTTCTGATTCCCCTATTTCTGCATCAAGCAAAATTGTTCCAAATCTGTCATTCCTTCATTAACATCTTTTAGATACAGCCTATCCATAGAAGCAGACATTGTTACTGATATTGTTGATCTTGTGGCTACTAATTTCTGGCCCCATTCTTTGAAGATCTTCTTTAATATTTCAAATGTTATAGTATTTTGTGTCATTTGGTAAATCCCAATGCTAAAGTCACGTTTTTTTTTTCCTGGACTTTAATCCCCTCTAGTGTCCAATTTAAATCATAAGGTCTCTTATCTCTGTTGTGACTTGTGCTAGTCAAAATAATTCTGCTTTTCACAAAAAGCTGTTTCTTTTATATAAATTCCAAAATCTTATATTAAAAGTTTCAATATTCCAAATTTGTCTGGACTCTTAATTCATTTATAACTTTCTTAGTTCAAAATCTTTAGTTTTTTGCCGTTTATTTCGAATTCTTTAAGTTCTTAAATTTATAGTTAATTTTTTTTGGGGGGGGGTTGTTTGTTCAAGAAGAAAGATGCATTCACCAGGTGACTTTCAGACTTTTCAAAGACCTCTAATAGTCTTAAGACATTTACATAAGCAATTTCCAAAAGGATTAGAAGCGAGGTTAGCAAACTTGGTGTCCGTTAAAAGACACCACTGCGGTTGTGAGCTTGATGAATAATCCCTTTATCTCCCAGCTTCAGACCCTCTGGTGACCACTATCCTGCAGTTTCCTTGCAAAGAACAGCCATCCAGAACACGCATGGGCAATCTTCTGTCTTCTCCTTGTCCGGAGAGGTTCTGTGGGACCTGTCTACTCACCTGTTCTTTGTTCTTTGCCATGGTCATCATCTTCACTCTCCTTGAAGACATGTTTAGCTCACCATGCCTCTACCAGAAGTCCTATTACATATGTGTTTCTTGATGTAGCATTTATTTTTATACATACTGTAGCTTGCATTATTTTGTTTGAGGCAATGCTTTTATGACAGCTTTATTAGCCTGTGATATTCTGTCATGTTTTTAAAGAAATTATCATGCACAAAGCACTAAAAATAATAACATAAAAAGTCATTGTGGGATCTCTCAGCTGTTTTTTATAATGTTGACTATGGATTAGGGTAAGGATCAAGACGCAAGGGCTGGAAATTAGAAAGACTATTTTACACTGGTTCCATTCCTTCCTGAGTGGAAGGAATGAGGATAATAATCAGAAGGATGAGCAGTCGAGTTTGTGGCCCTTTTTATATGGGGTGCCTCGGGCTTAGTCCTCTCCCCATACTATTTAACCTCTACATAAAGCTGGTATAAAAAAAATGTTCATTGATTCAGGTGATATATCATCAATACCTTGAGGATGTCCAGTTATACATCTCATCTGGAGCCAGACAGGAGATGTCTGAAGATTGTAAGGGTTTGAATTGGACAGGACAAAACAAGTTGAGATTAAATCCTAGCAAGACAGAGTAGCTATTTGTCCAGCAACCACATGGTGTCACACAGTCCCCAAAACAGCAGGTCTGCAACTTAGGGGTCCCCCTTAATTTGGCTAAATTTATATAATTGTGGCACTATAGAAATGTGGAAAATAAATAAAATGAATATCTCCATGTCACTGGACAGTTTCTTCTGGCCCTCCAGAGGACAAAAGGTTAAACTGTAGTCTTTGATCCTTAAAACATTTCTCGTACTTGCCCTCAAATGTAATTAATTTGGTCCTGGAAATCTAATCCCATTCACAGTACATAAGTACGCCCTTACTATGTTCTCAGTCTCAGGGGGCAATCTTGCCACTTCATCCTGTCTTCACAGTTGTCTGGTAGAGTATATCCTCTTCTCAAAGAATATTAAGTTAGAGTCAACATTTAGTATCTCTTTTTTAAATTTTCTGTTAGTATTGTATGTCTTCACTGAGTATTGATTCTCTTTATTCTGTTTTAAATATACCAAAGAAGTATTGTTATTGCTTTCAGCCTCCTTTATCAATCTTGGTTCATGCTGAGCTTTACCCTTTCACATATATCTCCAGTTCTAGCTTATCCTTGGTTCTCTTGGTGATCTGTTCCCCTTTCTACCTTGTATATATCCTTTTGTATTTTCATGTGCTCACTGATATGTGCAGCCACATTGGGTTTTTCCCCTCCAACATTGGAATTACAGTATTTGCAATTCTGCTTTTAATATTTCTCTTTTAAGGAACTCCAATACATCCTGAGCTCTTTCTTTGTCACGGAATCATATTTACCATAACTCTGAATGTATTAAAATTGACTTTTATGAAGTGGATTTTATTAGTATTAAGAACTCTAGAGCTGCATGGTAATTTCCCCCAGTATGTCTGCTACAGTATTACTATTTTCTTACCTAAATCTTTCTTATTGGTTATTGTCAAGTAATGGATATTCTTGTGCCTTCCTCTAACCTTTGAAGGAGAAAGTTGACAGCAAAACTAGTCAGGAATTTCCTGGAAGATCCATAGTTAGAGCTTGTTTCTAACAGATTGAATTCTTTAATCATTACTATTTCATATTTCTTTGAATAAGCTGCAATTTGTTTCTGAGAAACAACATCCACATCTTGTCCTTACTGGATAAGCAATGGAAATATAAAAAACAGTATTACTTTTTTGCTCTCATTAATTTAATCCAGTTACTGTCTAGAGTATTGTCAAATTTACTAGCAGCTACCTCAGTTAACCATTTCCAAACTGAGGCAGTTTTTCACCATCCTCTCACAAGTCTTTTTTGAGAGGCCTTACTAATCCCTTTCAACTTAGCTACTTGTTCTATCCTAGAACTCGACTGAACTTCTGCTTGTTTTTTAACTATCAAAGTGCCATTCATGGTGGTCATTAACTCAGTTCTCTTGGTGAACATGCATTATTAATAGCTCCATCTTAACATCATGTTTCGCTTGCTTTGTTCCAACTAGTTTTCAATAGTTAACCAATGTATAGATCTATCTTTGTTAATGAACTTATTTATGAACATGGAGGTCTTTAGGTACACACTTTCTGCCTCTTGGCATCATGTAGAACAAGATACCTTAATTTCAAACTCTTTCCAGGTGGATTGTACATATTATTTGTTTCTGTGTCAGTTAGCAGATAAGCCTTTACCAACATGTATCAAAAGCACTGGCCTCATTTATGGCTTCCTCCACATAATGCATCTGCAGTTCCTTTACTATATCAGTCATTGGAACTGAGGAGATAGGGGGAGCCAGACCCAAGATTATGTATAGTGGGGGCATGCTTCTACTCAAAAGTCCCCCTCAGCTTTGGAAGATTCCCAATCAAGGGACATCACCACCCTCTCAGACAACGACAGTTAAAGGTAAGCAATCTGTCTCACATTAGTTCTCACTAGTATTTTTGGAGAGTAGTAAAAATATACTCTATTTAAAACACAATAGCTCAGGATTTTTTTTTATTTTTGAAATTATAATAAATATCAGCACATTGAAAGAAAGACCTCTGCATCAATCAGAAAAATATAGTAGTATATGTTTTTTACATGCATTTTACCTCCTTTAGAATTATATTGCTCAAGATGTCTTAGATCTAAGAATGTAGAAATCATTCATAGTGGTTATTAATAATATGAATTTAAAGAACTAAAAGGTAATGTAAATTGTATTATAACAATATTTTTCTTCTTTAGGTGATTCTGTTAAAAAGAAACCAACTTGCAAGACTTCCCCCTACAATTGCTCCACCTACTGCGCATGATCTCCTGTGCAATATTGTGTGGCTTCAGAATAATAAAAACCAAATGGAATACATTCAGGTAATGATGCTTAGGTATTTAAGGGTGGTAAATATTCAACTCCAAAAACACTGATTCTTTTCAGTCAGAGTTCAAGTTTGGGCATGGGATGGAAACTGCATTGGGTGGTGGTGGTTGATCTGAAGTGGCCCTAAATGAGGGGAGTGCATCCCTCTTGGTCCTCTTAGATCTCTTAGCAGCATTCAGTGCCATGACCATAATGTCATTCTGAGCTGCCTGCAGGATTTGGGGATTGTGGGTACTGTTTGACAGTGGTTCTTCTTCCTGAGTAGATGGTTCTTGTCTGGTTGTGTGGAGAGGTTTTCATTCTAGTCTCAGGTGCCTTAAGCCTCTCATTTTCTCCCTGCTGTTTAACATTCTACTTGAAGCCATGTAGGCCAAGCCAGCAATGCTGTGAAAGTTCTGACCAATGTCTGGAGGCTGTAAGGATTTGGATAGGGAAAAACAAATTGATGATGAATCCCAAAAAAATTGAATTACTCTTTGTTTAGAAACCATACGACTTTCTCTTCACTTTAGTGGTAATTCTGGGAGAGGTAGTATTCCTTGAAGTAACAGTTACATGACTTGGGCCTACTGCCAAATAGGCAGGTAGAGGGCAAGACTAGGGGGCATGTGCTCAGTTTCAGCTGGTATGCCAGTTGCACCGTTTCCTGGAAAAGGAGGCCAGTGTGTTTGTTACTTCCTGCTTAGGTTACTATAATGCATCCTATACAGTATGAGGCTGCTTTTGAAAACTACTTGGAAGATGCAATTAGTCCAAAATGCAGCAGCCTGCTTGTTGGCAGATGAAAGCCACTATCTCCAGAGCACATAACTCTAGTGCTTTATATATCTGACCTTTAAAGCCTTACATGGCTTGGCTCCTGGGAACCTTAAGGACCATCTACATCAAGTGTATCCTACCTATCCAGTACACATGTGCCAAGATGGGATGCTGAGGGTTCCTTTCATGTGTAAGATCTGGGGGATCTTCTTAGGTTTGAAAAAATACTATTCATGCATAGCCCCACATGTATACAGTACATCAGATATAGATAATTTGATATCCTTCAGATGCAATTCCCACATCACTTGACATTAGCTATGCTGGCTGAAACTCATAGGAGTTAAAGTAGTAGAGATCCCAAATTATAAGTTGGAGATCCTATGTGTGCCATTCATCAGGTGCCCTTGGCTTGCCTGCCTGCCTCATATCCATACACTGAATATATTGTTTGAATAGGTTTCTGGCTCTCAAATTACAGAGTTATAATTCTTTAATTTTGTTACATGGTTTCTTCATTGGTGAAGTATCATTAGAATGCATAAGAAGAGCTTCCTATTTGATATGCATGTAGATTCCCAGGAATGTAATATATATAAGTATTCATGAATGGGTTATGGTCATTTCCACAGCCCATCCCCATTCACTGCTTTTTGAGTCTTGTCATGTCTATTTACTTCTGATGAGATGACAATGGCAGGTGTAGGAGAAGAGCTTTAGACAACCAATTCATCTAAAACAACACTGCTGGAAATGATTAATGTATTGTTTTCATGCTTTCTGAATTCAAACCTGCTCATTGCAGAAGTGGACTTTTGCAAGAGAAATAATGTTATGTCTGAATCCTTGGAGGAAGAGAATTTGATATCTCTTTAGGGCCAGAACTTGCAAAAATCAATGGTGACTAAGTCAACTTCTGGAGAAAAGCTGGAGATAACCAGTATACTTAAAAAGAACACAACTAAAATTGATGAACTGCTGGAATCTTGTCCTCTGGATCGAAGAGGAGCAGCAAGAGGCAACTGAGGCTAATTGGGCAAAGATAGAGTGAGCATCTGAAATTAAGGGCTGCAGGATTAGAGTTTTTTTGGCAGAGCAGCTGCGCAACACCTGGAGGGTATGCTCTGCAGTCTGTCTGCCCTTTGACTTTGTTTGGTATTGGTTTCAACTCAGATGCTTTTCTGAGTGTCCCATGAATCTCTTGCATATCACAAACCAGGTATCAGGGCTGTTATACTGACTCATGACCGTCTTTTCTTGACTATCCCTTTGAATTAGACTACAGTCAACCTAGCTATGAACTTCAGAATTCATTCTCTAAGTGGCTACTTATCTCAGAAACACTGTTTCTCTTGGTTTTCCCTCTGTAGTAGACCTGTCATCCACATTTGCTAGAGCTCATTATGGCAACAATAGCCAAAGGAGAGTAAATGGCAAACAACCCCCAATCAATTCTGGCAGTATAATAAAGGAGTTACAACAACCAAAACAGTTACCTCTTTTACAGTTGGCTCAGCACACAACTTTGGTCATTGCCTTACAGGCTTAGTCAGTAGCAAGCTGCTCATCTCATTTAAATATTCTGATTGTTCTTCCAGAAAAATTAAATAGTAAGAAAGAAACATTTTGCTATCTTCCTAGCTCAGAGTTAGTCATATACAAATACAAGAGCATAAGATTTCCTTTCTGATCAAGCAAACTAGTACAGGTAGTCCTCATTTAGTCACTGCCTCAGACAGCCACTGTTTGAAATTAATGACTGTGATGAAAAAGTAACTGCGACCAGTGCCTGCATTTACCACCTTTGCAGTGTCTCTCTCTCTCAGCCATGTGTTTGCCATTACAGTCAGTTTGTATGTGTTGTCCTATGTATGACTTTTTTTTTTGAATCTATCCCCCACCCAGAGCTGAGATTATCTAAACAAGCTATCTTTTCCTGAGCTGCCCTAAAATGTGCTAATGGTAAGTTAACACGGTCACCTCTGTGACCTTAGTTGCTTAGAACCCTCTGGCTGGCTGGCAGCTACAGCTTGAAATTGACAAGACCCTAATCAGTTTCACACTCAAGGCTTTTAAGCAGTTCACAGCTTGCAGCCCAGTATGCTAGGCCCACTGTGCCAGCGCATTCCTTTCAATGTGCATTCCCCATTGTGTGCCTGCTTACTTTATTGTATAGGTAGTCCTTGTTTACCAACTGCCTTGTTTAGCAACTGTTCACAGTTACGACAGTGATGAAAAAATAACCCTGTGAGCAGTCCTTGCATTTACAACTTTTGCAGGTCTGTAAAGCAAAGGAAAGCTGAAATAAGATCATAAGAATAGTCATGGTTTCACTTAATGACTGCTTTGCTTAACAATCCAGTTGCTGGTCCCAATGATGGTTGCTAAACAAGGACTGACTATAATCCCTTCTTCTCCAATGAATGTAAATACAAATATTCTGTTCTTGCTAATTATCCCAGTACCAGGGTAAGCATTCCTCAGGACAAAGGAGTGAGGTAAAAGGGCTATAAGATTTGTCCTTATATCCGGTTTCCTCATGAGTTGAGTTCTGGAAACCTCCCGTTTGGCCTCCCCTGGCTGTTTGGGGTCATATCCTTCTGATGTTATAAAGCAAAGGAAAGCTGAAGTAAAATCGTAAGCATAGTTGCGGCCATGTGATTTTTCACTTAGCAACCACTTCACTTAAGGACCAAGTTGCTGATCTCAATTGTGGTCACTAAATGAGGACTACCTGTATGTCTTCTGTCTGATGCCTAATGGAATACTCCTTATTTCAGCCTAGTTCCATCTAATAATTTGCAGAATGTATAGCCCAGTTAAAGTTGGTATATGAGGATCCATTAAAAGTACCCACAGCAAAATAGAAGATAAAGTGTCTAAGACACAGAATTCCATAAAGGGAATACATTACTGATTTTCAGCTTCTAGTAGACAGTTTAATTTAGAATTAAGCAATCTTATTAGACTAGTGTCAGGAAAATTTAAACAATTATAACAATAATATTTCAGATACATTTGTTAATCAGGACCTGCCCACCATGCTACAAAGCCTGTATATGTTGTGCTTGCACTTTGATGACCAAATGAAAGGATAAAGGAGGCATTCTCATGACGGCAATTTATGACAGGGCCTAAATCATAACTCTGGGCCTAAAATAGTTAACACCAGTATGTTTATACCCACAGTTGGAGGAGAACTCAGTATAAGAAGGGATTCTGCTTTTATTATGAAAGTGTCATGCTCTCTCTACTTGTCCTTTGAAGCCATCCATCTGATTTCAGCATCATAAGCCTCCTAGATCTGAGCAACAGATGGTTCAGTAAGGGCCAACTATTTGTTGCTGAAGAATTTGAAGCTGGATTCAACTCCATATACCAGAGGAAAATGTCCATACTGGAACCATTGTTATTTCTATATTACTGGCAATTTTATAGATTCTGTGTTTAAAGAAGCTCATCAGCTATCTCCATAATCAATTCTTTATCTGCTTAATCAAAGCACAGACCATGAATGGGCAACTTTTGCCTGGTGATCCCATAAAGCAATAGACCAACTAATTATTTCTTGAGCTGCCAAACAGTTGGGATTTTGTGTGTGTGTCAACAACTTTCCAGCGTTGATGGGAAGTTGGCGTTGGATTTGGAGTGGCTAAGGAAATTCTCCTTTTCAGGTCTGGTTGAATTTAGCTCTTCTTACTGACAAAGCTATTTTGAGCCTGTCAACATGATTTGCTGCACCATCAACTCAGAGAAATCAATCTAGAAATAGATTTCTGAGAGAAAGTTTGACATAAAGGAGGCAGACCAGCTACTTCCAAATCAGTTGCCCTACTGGTTTAATAGTAGAAGCCAGTGTTCTAACAGGGCAGATAGACCTAATCCTTGAACCAGAATTGATGGTTTTGAGGGAACTTCTGAACAAGAATCTTCCACCTTGCCAGTAGCCACTCCCTTCTTTTTTCTGAATGGAGTCATACCTGTGTAATGACTTTGGGGGGCTCAATAGGTTTACAGTTTAAAGTTGATATCCTTTAGTTCTGATCCCTGAATTTGTAGAGAGATTACAGGGAGCTACAATTTTTATTAATGTAGATCTCCAGAAAGCCTAGAATTTCATCCAAATCTAGAAAAGGGATAAGTAGAAGGCTGTGTTTAATACTTGCTGTGGCACTGTGAATATACAGGCATGCTTTTCTATCCTTGCAATGCTCTCATGGTCTTTCAGAACTTCATGAACATTTTTCTGGACTTCCTAAATAATGTCCTCATTATCTACTTGGGCAATCTGCTGACATAGTCTAGCAATCCCAATAAAATAAGTCCAGATACTGTTACAGTGTCAGCAAACTGCTTGTTTGCCAAGCAGGCAAAAAAGGAAAACCTCAGGAAAAAAGGTTTCAGAAAACCTAGGAAAAAAAAAAACCTCAGTCAATCCACAGTATTTTTCCACAGTACTTGTTACCATGCAGATGCCTCCTCTAAGAGAGTGTTGGTACTGCTTTTGAAACTTGTCAATTATTACAATTATTATTTTCCAGGAAGAGGGAATTTCCAATTTGCTCCAGTCTTAAGCAAGATCTAAAAGGATGAAGGGACTCAACAGGCTTTTCACTTTGTAAAACAGGCCTTTATCTTCCAGCCGATGCTGTATTACCAGAATTCTGGAAAGATATTGTGATAGTGGTGCTCTTACAGTCCTCCAAAAAGGACCACACACTAATGATTTAAATACCACTTCAGAAAACATAATTCCTTTGAATTAAACAAACTGGGAGAAAAAGCTGGCAATTAAGTCAGCCTTCAAGTCCTAGCATCATCTGTTCAAAGGGGTTTGTTTCCCTGTTCTGGTATGTACCTAAATCATTCATAGACTGCATGGAAATGAAACAGGAAACAAAGTCACTGGTCTCTGTTTTTCCTATAGATTTACCACCTTCTATATTCCTTCTTCTATTAACAAATAGGCAGATGACCTTTCCGGAATGCCTGAATATACAAAGGACTGGAAGAAAGCTCTTTGGCATTTTATACATAATTTGGAAAATGTTGAAGTTTTATGTGACCTTTGTTGGACAGGATTTATGGTCTACAGCATTCAGATCTGCATGTTAAACCCATTGCAGGGAACTCTGATCATCTTCTGATGTGGGGATTGGTCTTATGTCTCACACACTTGACTTTACACCACCATCAGCTTTATTTTCTCCTGGTTCCATCAGGAAAGAGCTTTCACATCTCTGTTATAACAGTCTTTAGGACCTTTTGGATACTATAAGATTTTATTTTCCATAAATTCTGGTCTGCAACCTTCTAGCAGTACTGTGTTACTCTGTTAGTTCTCAATAAGATTATTAGGATTATTTTCTGCCCCTGAGAATTTACTTATAGTAATTTGGTGCATGCCTTGGCACCAACAATTTTTTTTAAAATTAATCCCTATTCTTTTCATTAGTTTTGCCTCAGTTTCCTGTTCCTGCAGCCAACCAGAAATTGCAAGCCCTCTAAAAGGTCAAGTATCAACAGGACCATGCCAAGGAACATTACAGATGCTTTGTAGATCACCATTGACAACTGAGGTCTGGCTTTGAAATAAGTCTTTCCCTATTTTACAGTCATCTTAAAAAGTTGATACCTGTTATATGTGGTCTTTTCCCATTGTTGCACAGGTCGGTCCAGTGGCTTTCACCTTCACATCCCAGGCTCCCTTTGCATCCATCTGTTATTCCACTATTTGATGTTTGTGCCCAATGTTTGGAGCTCATTCTTTGCCCAACTAAAATCCCTAGCATTTTGTACTCAAATATGTTGTGGGTATCTTCTGGATAGGAAAGTTATTTGAAATAGTTACATAATTTAAATATCTTAATATACTTCTGATAAAAGTTGATCTTCATCCTCTAACTTTAAAATTCTTCTGTATATATTTGTCATTTGCTACACTCTTAAATGTTCAAAGCACCTTAAAATACTTCTCTTACTTGATATCTTTGGGGGTATGCTTAAGAAAGTATTATTTATTCTGTGTTCTATAATACTATTGCTTTCTTTTTTCAGAAAAAAGCAAAAGTTCTTTATTACGATTATGGAGATGTCATATGTGAAGAAGGCGAACTACCACAAGGAATCCATTTAATTGTATCAGGAATGGTTAAGGTAAGATATAGGTATCAACAAATACCTGGGAATATAACTTGGAATAAGGAAATTAATATTACTTAGAATTATGTTAGTAATATTATATACTGTAGTCTACAAACCATTTTGAAACTGAATTTCTGTTTCATTTCCGGTCAAAGTTTTAGACTTCTTTGTTCCTTATATTGCTGTTTACTATAATTAGGAGTATCTGTATTGCGTATAAAAAAGGGACTGGGCTTTGATCATGTAGTTGTGGCCACCATCTTGACTCTATCGACACACACCTTCTCTCTTCACTGAATGCCCCTGTCTGCTACAATCTGCCTGATGAAAAGTTCTGAAGAATTTAAAAGCTTGTGTGCTCATTTTTGACCTTTTGGGTGATCCTAATAAAAATTAGAATTTGGTTGATTCTATTCAACTGAGGTTTTGGGATTTTTCTTTCCTTAACAGTAGGGCATATTTTATTTTTATTGGACTGTTCATTGTGATAATTATTTGTTTGCTGTTATATAGAAGAAAACAATGCCCTCTTTGTCACCTTGGCTACCATCCCATAGATCTATAAAAGGATTTTTTGATAAAACTAGTGATTTACATCTATTACTGCCTTCCATACAGGTTTACAAACTTTAAGTTACAGTCTGTTTTTCCAGCAGAATTAATTCCATCGTCTCAGATATAGGATTTAATTGGTATCACAATAGAATAAGGGGAGAATCCCAATTAGATAGTTCAAGGCACTTTGTTAAGAATTGTTTTCTGCTTCTAGTTGAGAAGCTTCCATTTTCTTCTCTTTAAGTCTTGATTCTGAGATATGGAAGCTGTGAGTTGTTTTACCTCTGTTTCTTTGCTCAGATGTTCTAAAATTTCTTGATTGTCTTTCTCATCCTCATAACACATGATTAGATCCACAATATAAGTTTAAAAGTATGTCAATTTCCAATTCTTAATACTGGATATATAAATAGGAATCAGCTTTTCTTGGTATGAATCCCTCACTAAGCAACAATTGATTCAGCTTTTCATACCAAGCCCTTGCTGCTTGTTTGAGCCCAGAAATACTCTTTTGTAACTTGCACACAAGCTTTTCTTTTTCAGGTTCTTCAAATCCTGGTTGCTGCTACATGTCTATGTTGCCTTGATGCTGCTGTAGAAGAAGCCCATCTTTACATCTATGTGTTAAAATACATTACTGTACTATTAATGCTGCAACACTGAGGAGAGTTCTAATTGAAGTATATTTTATTCCAAGTGCAATGGTTTCATCACAATCTTCATCATACTTTGGGAGTATCCCTTGGTGACTACACTGGCTTTGTAGCATTTAATGCCCTCTTCTGCATCTCACTTAATTGTGAAGACTCATTTGCAACCATATGCAACTTCATTTTGGTAACTTCGTGAGACTTTATGTTTGAATAGATCCAATCTCTTTCCTGGCAGCTTATAGCCACTTGTCTTTGTATGGCATCCCTTCTATATTTTGCCTTGTGGAAGGATTTAATATCTCATCCTCTCTGGCAAAAATCTTATGACATCCTGCTTCTGACTCAGGGGATTCTGATGCTGACACTGGATGCACCAGATGAATGTCAGCCCCAGGAAAGGGCAACCAATTCAGCCCTTGAAGCTGACTCTGTCAGCAATCATCTGGAGCAGCTGTGCTGGCAGTTAGATGACACAGGTTCCAATCTGAGCAACTACCCAGTCCCTAGATGTGCAATACATTCTGGAGAGCTGAATAGAGGAGTTCAGTAGATGTTTCTTCAGCAAGAGTGGTGTCGTTCTTGTTCCCATCTGGCAATGGCCCTGTATATCATGGTGTCATGGGTACATCTCTGTTAGGAATAACCAATGAAACTTGGTCTCTGTGCTCTTGAGCCTTGAAACTCATGTATCCAGCAACTCTGTAACTCTAACTCTGGACCAACTAATAACATTCTCATGAACACCTTGAACCTCAATCCAGGACCTGAGCATGCTACTTGTCTATTGACTTCAACTTTGACTCAGTGCAGACAAACTCTCTCTTTCTGTAAATCCTGCTGAAGCATGTGTGCAACTGTACACACACCCATGGTTGGTACCATTCTATATTCACATTTTTGTCTCTACCTTCTGTCCTTTACTTTAGCAGAAAGGTTGGTTCACATCTTTAGATTTCAAAAAGGTCTTTGTCCACACTGGAATCCAGCTGCATAAGTTTCTTTGATGTATAGTGGGTTTTTGTTTTGTTTCATATTTTTCTCTTTGTTCTTTTCATCACTCCACTGTCTTCACAAAATGTATGATGTTCACTGTTACCTATCTCTACCTCTGTGGAATTTTGTCCTTACAGTATATGAATTATTAGCTATGGTCCCACCTCATGTTTTTTAGCACTTTTCTTTCATTGTTATTTCAGTACATTGCCTTGTTATTCCACTTTCCACTTCACTGAATATTGTTTCTGGACTTCTTTCACTTGGCATCTTTTCTATCTGATAATATGTCAGCTCATCACATAATAAAACTATAATAATGGACTATTGTCATTGCTAAAGCACTGCTAACACCAAGCTTATTCAGATTTTACTGAGGTATTTAGTGGCCATCATGGGAGGGGTCCTCTTCATCAGAGATTTTGCTCTTTGTGTTTCATTCTGATGTAGATTCAGATCATCTTTATCTCCAGTTTCCCCATAGGATTCTCTAGTTGCTTTGACAGTGATCATTCCTCCCAATGTACTTTAAGGCTGCTTTTTTCACAGGGTCTTCTAGTGACTATAATAACAACAGAGATTTATTCAAACATGCAGAATTGATTGAAGGGAGAGGGAATTCTGGTTGCTACTGGCTATTGGATAGCCATGCCTGCTAATTGCACATAAATAGCTTCAAACTATTGGCAGGGTTCAAAGCTCTACAGGTTTATGAATCTTTTTATGGCCCCAGGTTCTTCAAATCATAATATATAATTTTGCCACAGTGTTACATCAACCAAGTGAGGTGGGAAATCATTTCAACCCATGGCTTGGCTTTCATTTTCTTATGCCAACGATGTTTTTTGTTGCCATTGCATAGGCACACCAGGCTGGAGAACTTTGTGTCTTGTGGACAGACAATATTCACATTTTGACAGTTCCTGTGATATCTAGTTCCTACCTAACTGATCTCTGATTTTCATATTAATCATTTTATTGTTCTGCCTATTTTTCTTCAATTAGAATCTGATTAAGGACAATCCTTTTGTACTTTAGATGTTCAGTGGGCATTAGTGGTTGATAGAATTGTTCCTTTCCAACAATTTCAAATATTATTCCTTCATTAGCTGGGCTCAGGCTATACTCAATTCAGAGCATGCTTCCTGCCAAAATTATCTGTAGGAAATTTCTGATGATAGGTCAGTGCTGGCATATCACCTAGAAGCATGAATACAGAGGCAACTACTCAAAGAACCAGAGTCATGTAAGCAACCTGTTTTTTTAAAGTAAATGAGAATTCTCAATGAGAGTTCAATGAGAAATCTCAAGCCATTAGTCATTTCCTGGATAAGAAAGTGAAAGAACTAGTGGCAAAAAGACAACATAGGTCCACAGTCTGCTTTCTTTTTATTATACACAAAGAACAGGAACATATGAGTTATGTTGCATCAGAAATGGCTCTAAGAGTTAGTTCAGAATGGAAACAATGAAGTCAGTGTTGTTAGTGTTCAGTAAACAGGAAGTTTTAGCTTTTACAGACATAGCAGAAGATTACCTGTATATACTAAAGCATGCTGAAAATACTGAGATCAACCTCTACCAATATATAGTCTTAGGTATTTGTATTAATACTAATAGTACCAGCATCTCACCTGCATGCATAGGGAGCTTTTCTTTTTCTGTACATGGGTAATAGCTGGATTTGCACATTATGAAGACAGCAGTACCTGGATAGTGTTCAGATCATCACTGATTGCTTGGAGGACAGTGGCTTAGTACTGAAATTGTAGAAAAGGAGCTTGAGACCATCTCAATGCCTGGGATGCTTGAGAATAGGTTGGACATAAATTAGTTCAAATCAATTCATTTTTCTCACTCAGTAAAATTATTCAAATATTGTGCAATTAGAATCTTTTGTTCAAAGTTAATCAGATCCAATGGAGTTAGCTTGCTGTTAGAAATGATGGTGTCATGCCATGATCTCATCTCCTGGCCCTTTTCACTCTTGACAGCTCAAGAAGATGTTATTGCCCTTTCAAACCCTTATTCTGCAAAGCCCTCATTTCAAATACTCTGCAGATATGCAGAATATAACCCGTAAAAGTATGGCCTCAACATACTGCTCCTCAACAGCACTTATCCAGCAGCTGCATCTCAGCTGCATAAATCTGGATTATCAGTAAATGGCAATCAAACTCTCTTTGCTGCCACCTCAGGGTCAATAGGTTGACTGATCAACAAGTCAATAATTTTGAAGCAGTTATGTGGAATCCCTGTAAATGATTAGCCCATCTTCCTTTTGAAGCAGTTATTTTTATGTATTTATGAAACGTATAGGCTGCCACAATCTATCACAACTCTGGGCAGCTTACAGAATAAAACAATAAAAACAGAAACGTATATAACCTAGAAAGAAAAATCTAGAGAAACAATACCGACTAGTAATTAAAATACAACTCAGGGATCCATCACCCACTCTAACCCAAGGCCTGGGGGAACTGACATGAAGGACTCATTTAAATAAGGTCAGGTGGGGGCTATATGAATCCCAGGGGAAATGTCATTTGGAGGGCAGTGCCATGATAGAATTCATTAACTGGAAGGACTTTGCTGTTGTGCCTCTGTAGCCTGCATGATGGGGAATTCTCTGCCCAATGCCCATTGCTTTCAGAGAAATTCTGGTTCCTTGGTTCTCCTCAAGGAATGTTCTTTTAAAAAGGTAATTCTGCTACATAATATATTCTAGTACAGATATGACTTCAACATGCAGCCACATTTTTTTTTCCTCTCCTATTGTTTTGGTTGATCAGAATGGTATGTGCTGTAATTTGACACAAGAATCAGTAAAGTGATTTCTCAAACTCTGGTTTTTCAACAGCACATATCCAGCCATTGCATTTCTGTTTCACAAATCCAGATTGCAGGCAAAGATAGATTGACTGGTCAATAGGTTAGTAATAATTTTACAGGAATGATGTGGAAGTTGACTGAGAGCACCCCACAGCTGCATACCTCTCTAATATATGCACAAACCCTGTCCTTTGATTTTGTTTTCCTTAATATTTACCCAGCATTTACATCTGGGCTGCACAAATCCAAGCAACTAAGACTTAGCAGTTAAGAGAGATAATTGCTATCTTTTGTCTTTACCTCAAGAGACTTTTTGGAAGAAATAGTACAGTGGTACCTCGGGTCACGAACACTTCTGTTCACGAACAATTCAGTTCACGAACAGCACCGTTCGCAAAATTTTGCTTCCATTCCCGAACTCCGCATCGGGTGACGAACAGGATCCACGGCCATTTTCCCTGCTGTGACACGTGGTCATGGCTTCCTGTAGGGAGGGGGACTCTCCCTCCAAGCAATAACCGCCTCCCCACCCGCCTTCCTGTCGTAGGGGTCAGAACGGATTAACCGTATTTACATTGAACCTTATGGGAAAATTTGATTCGGGTCATGACCAAAATCGGTTGGCGACCAAATTCGTAAGAGTCAGAACGGATTAACCGTATTTACATTGAACCTTATGGGAAAATTTGATTCGGGTCATGACCAAAATCGCTTGGCGACCAAATTCGTAGGGGTCAGAACGGATTAACCGTATTTACATTGAACCTTATGGGAAAATTTGATTCGGGTCGTGACCAAAATCGCTTGGCGACCAAATTCGTAGGGGTCAGAACGGATTAACCGTATTTACATTGAACCTTATGGGAAAATTTGATTCGGGTCGTGACCAAAATCGCTTGGCGACCAAATTCGTAGGGGTCAGAACGGATTAACCGTATTTACATTGAACCTTATGGGAAAATTTGATTCGGGTCGTGACCAAAATCGCTTGGCGACCAAATTCGTAGGGGTCAGAACGGATTAACCGTATTTACATTGAACCTTATGGGAAAATTTGATTCGGGTCGTGACCAAAATCGCTTGGCGACCAAATTCGTAGGGGTCAGAACGGATTAACCGTATTTACATTGAACCTTATGGGAAAATTTGATTCGGGTTGCGACCAGAGTCGTGGAACGAATTAAGTTCATGACCTGAGGTACCACTGTACTTAACCTGCCTGCAGCTCATAGATTTCTGACCTAGAATCTGAATTGGACTGTGCTCATAGATCACCATTTAAACCTTAAGTCAAATGTGGTAAATTTACTTACACTTAGGATTGTTTTTTTAGTATTTGTAAGGTTAATCAGGCAAATGTCAGATTTTGGCAAGCTTTCTTAAGGTTCCAAGTTACGTTTTTTTCACAAAGATCAGATGATGCTTAGGCATGACTCTAATGTTGAAGTTAATTCTCATTTTCTCCAAATACAATATTTCTTTTTCTTCTTTTTGTCCTAATGCTTCTTACTAGGAAAAGAAATATTGAAACAAATTCAATGTATATTGAGCCCTCCATTTTTATTTGGATACTTTACTGGAAATTAGGAAATCTGAATGTTTGTTTGTATCTTTTTAAGGTAAACCTGAAGGAGATAAAGTGTTTGAGGCTTCTATTTCCCACTGGTTGAAAGAATATACTGTACTATCAAATGCTACATGGCCTTGGGAAAACAACCTTAAGGAGAAACATAGCACATTTAGCTAGAGGACATCAGCTTCAGTGGCCTTCCATGGAAAATCTCTTGATAGAAGAGATTTATAAGGCTGCTAGGTGGTCATTGGTTCATCCTTTGGGGAACAAGTATGCAGTTTTAGAAGTTTGCTTTATAATTGTCTTTCTGCATTTACTGTAGTGCACCTACCAAATGTATATTTGAAGAGTTAATAGTGGAATAAAATATGTGCAAATTATTGAAGCAAGAATGGCAAGCTGGCAAGCTGATCTCTGATTAGTCCATGTCACGGGAGTACAAGAAAGCTGGCTCCTAATTGGTCCTTTGTCTGACTGATCCATTTTGAAGAAATTCCAAGAGTACCGCTTCCTGATTAGTCTGTCTTTGAGGCAGGCTGCTGATTGGTGCAGCAGCCTCACCAGAAAGAATACCTAGTAGTATCCTGGCTCAAAAACAGTCCAATCAGGAACCAGATCTTCTGGAATTGTCCAAAATAAACAGAAGTCCAGCTACACAAGGACCAATCAGAGATCAGCTTGCCAGGTTCATATACAAGAGCCCAGTCAGCCCAGTTCAGTTGCCTGTGAGTTGCTGAGAGGTACATCAGAAAGCACCTCACTTTGCCTCTGAAGATGCCAGCCACAGCTGCTGGTGGAATGTCAGAACAAAAGAAAACTAGACCATGGCCATTCAGCCCAAAAACTCATCCCTGCTTCATTGATGCCAGATGTGAAAGCCTATGCCAGTACATGCAAATTATTGTTATTTCATTACCTGTCTAAAATTAATTATTACTGTTTTTTTAAACCTAGCTTTCTGGTACTGCCCCGTCTTATGGAGTTTATAAAGAAGTTAATAAAGATACTCAGAAAGATGTTGACAAAGATATCCGCAAAGACAGCCATAAACATCTTACATCTGCCTACACGGACTACTACGTGACTGGAGCTATTATAGGAGAGCTCAATTGCTTAACTAAGCAAGAAATGGAATATGGGGTTACTTGTGAAACTGCTGTGCAGGTTGGAGAATTCTGCTTTATAATGTTGATTTTACATGGTATTAGAATTAAAGTTTTTGACTAACAAATTATATATAATTATACAAAACTTTATTTTTTGAAATGGTAGTTCCTATTTTGGGTTTTAAAACTGAATTCAAAATACTTTGAACGTTAAATCACTTAAATCTTAACAGATGTTAAACAATGCATATTGAATTATCCAACTGCTTTATATTACCATTCCTGTTTTCTCCAATGCCCTAAAGTCAAAAAGATAAAACAATATAGTGTGGAACAGTATAGAAAGCAGCAGATTAATGTGTCCATTGCACAAAATTAATTTACTTAATATTTGCAAGATAAGCTGCTCTTAAAAATACCAAAACATCTTGTTACAGAATTTATGACTGAGGGAATTACCTGAGGCTTTTGTAATGGAAGACATAACTAGATTAGAAAAGCAATTCATTCTGCATTTTCAGTGCTTCCTACATAGTTGTTATATAGGATGTGGGGGCAATCTGGCTGTGACATCTGTCACCCTCCTGTTTGCTGATGTTGATGTGCAGATCTGGTTGGCTAGACAAGTGTCTTTCCCTCACCATTTCATGTGCATCCCTCCCAAAGTTGCACGCTCAATGGAAGAGGATGACCATCCCAGATAGAAGGAGTATACTAATCTTTGGTCAAGGGTACACAATACAGTTTTGTATAGAATTACTTTGTCAAAAATAGCCTATTTGGGGGTTGATATTTTTGCTAATCACAAATTATATTGGCATTTTAGGTTTCAATGAACAAAGAAGTAAACAAAATCTTTCTAGGTTATTGTTTCTTCCATCTAGAACTGAAGCAATCATGGTTTGCAGAATGACCCCTTTACCATGAGTGGTTCTCCTCCCCCCAGACTTATTTTGCTTCTTGTAAAGAATGCAAGACCAAAATTAATTCCTTTGTCTTATGGGGGAGGCTGGGATGGCCATTGCAGGCAAAGAGGAACCTATATGCATCTCCCCTCTTCTAAGCCATTTGTCCCTGTCCAAGGCCTATGTGGTTGAACTGACAAGCACCTTGGTCTCCAACCTCTGTTGCTAAAAGCCAGGTCTGCACAGAATAAAATTGCATCCCTTTATATGTTCTTGGATGAATATGCAGACCTTCCATGTATTTAGGGGACCTGGCTTGACAGCAACAGGGATATAATCCCGTTGGAAAATTCCTAGCTGAGTTTCAGGTGCTATAGCAATAGCAACACCAATGTTGAAGAGGAGGGGACACTTTATAGTTTGCAATATTATCTCAGTAGCAAGGACCAGTGCCCTGGAGGTGACTGGGTGTGAGTGCCTATGTATGGAAGAAGCTAGGGCTACTGGGTAATATACCAACCCCCTAGCTGCCCAGCAGTTTTTCACCAGAATTGAATATAATATTAGAAAAAAACCCACTGCAGATTGGATCAAAGTACAGGTAGTCCTCGTTTAATGACTGTTCATTTAGTGACCATTCAAAGTTACAATGGCACTAAAAAAGTGACTTACGACCAGTGCCTGAAGTTACAACCATTGCAGCATTGCATGGTCACCTGATTGTGATCTGGGTGTTTGGCAACCAGTTTGCACTTATGACAGGGTCATGATCGCCATTTGTGACCTTCCCAATTTGCTTCCAGCAAGCAAAATCAATGGGGAACCATGTGATTCACTTAATGACTACAGTTATTCGTTTAATGACCACCACAAAAAAGGTCATAAAATTGGGTCTGGTCACGTGATGATTCACTTAACAGCTGTATCACTTAGTGACCTAAATTCTGGCCCCAGTTAAGCAAGGACTACCTGTATTTTTTGTACAATAAAGGTTTTGGTCTTGAGCTGTTTATTTAGTGTAAAGGTTTCCATTGTATTCTTACTTAATTTTTATTACATGGAAAAAGGAAAAACTAGATGAGCAAAGCAAATTTAACAACAATTAAAATCCCCCCCAAAAGGAACAAGAACTATTGGGTTTCTAACTTCCCCCTTTTTATACATCTGCTAATTTTACAATATTTGTAGATATTTAGGTCCCCTTAGAAGCCAGACTGTAAGTGATTACATTTGCCATGCTGCGTGATGTATTGTATGTATGGCAACCCTTCTTGTTTAAATTTGGTTAAATTTCTATTATGAATATATACTGTTAGTTTTGCCATTGCTGCATATTCTCCAAGTTTAAGTTCCCAGCCAGATATTGTTGGAATTGTATCTTTCTTCTAGTGTTGGGCAAAATTTATTCTTATTGCTGTAGGCATTTATCTCATTAAATTATGAGGTTTCATGTCAATTTTATTTCTGAGATTATATACATAGTAAGAAAAGTTGTGGTTCCTTTCAAATTTAAATTCCAAATTTTTCAGCACTGTACTATATACATATCTTTCCAGTACTTTCGGGGTTTTTTTACATGTCCACCACATGTGATAAAATATTCCTTCTGTTTTATGGCATTTCCAACATTTATTACTGTATGATTTGTCTATCTTAGATATTATTGATGGAGTTGTATACCACGTATAGAACATTTCATACCAGTTTTCCTTTAAGTTATAATGGCATTTCCAACATTTATTACTGTATGATTTGTCTATTGGCATTTCCAACATTTATTACTGTATGATTTGTCTATCTTAGATATTATTGATGGAGTTGTATACCACGTATAGAACATTTCATACCAGTTTTCCTTTAAGTTATAACTTGGTGTAAATTTTATAGATTTAGTCCATAATTCTTCTCATTATTGTATTGTAACTGTTTCTTTAAAAATTTGCACCCATTTTATCATACTTTTTTTTTGTTTGTTCTGTGTCTGTATCATATCTGAGGAAAAGTTTATATATGTGCCCTAACAGATGGTGTTGGTTTTGTGTGAGCATTTCAAATTCTGTCTTTGAAAATTTTCTTTAATATAAATAGGGCACCAGGAGTTTCCCATACTATTATCTGGGAAACAAACAAAACATATACAGTATGAGGGGCCTTCTAATTAAATTAGCCACAAAACAAAAATAAGAATACAATAAACAAAAAGAACAATTGGATGCCAAAATAAGAGAATTGGAAAAAAGGCATAAAACAAGCCCAAATAAATAATTGATGAAAGAATTGCAAGAAACTAAACGGCAATTAAATCTATTAGAACCAGAAGAGTTACCAAAGAAAATAAACTTTGCCAAACAGAAAAATTTTGAATATGTGAATAAACTAGGAAAATTATTAGTCTATCAACTTTGAAAAAAGAGAAAAATACAAACAATGTCAGCAATAAAGAAAGGGTCCATATTGTTACACTCAACATCATGAATAATAGAATTGGCAGGGTTTTTTAAAAAAGAATTATATTACAAGATTAACATTGATGAAGTTGCTATGAATAAATATATTGAAAAGTCAGTTATCAAAGAATTTAACAATCAACTTAGGCAAATACTAAGTATACCTATACAGGTAGTCCCCAGTTTAAGGATGAGTTCCACTCCCAAAGTCTGTCCTTAACTCGAATTTGTATGTAAGCCAGAACAGTATTATTGTATAATACTGTATAAATAGTATTGTGTAATGAACTCAAATCATTGTATTTGTCACTGTATTTGTCAATGTTTCTAATAGTTCTTCAAATTCTTTGTAATATTGAGCTATCAACCCATCTGGACCTGGTGCTTTTATTTAACTTGAATCATTGTGTATTTTACTCATGTTTTGCTACAATTGGCTCCGTTCTTAACTATGGGTCGTCCGTAAACCAGGCACTCTTAACCTGGGGACTGCCTGTAACTGTCCAAGAAATGAAAAAAGCAATAAAACAAATGCAATTTGGAAAATTTGGAAGATGGGTTTGACAGCTCAATATTACAAAGAATTTGAAGAACTATTAGAAACATTGACAAATACAGTGAATGAAATTAAAGAAACAAAGGCAATACCACCAACATGGGAAGAGACATATATAACTTTGATTTACAAAGAAGGGAATGACCCAGAAAAAACAGTCATATAGATCAGTTTCCTTGCTGGCTGTAGATTACAAGATTTTTACAACAATATTAACTGGTAGACTTAAAACATGTGTTTCAGATATTATACATATTGACCAAACTGGTTTCATCCCAAAGAGAAATATAAAGGACAACAGTAGGTTTATAATCAATCTAATAGAACTTATAAACAAAAGAAGGGAGAAAACTGCACTAATTTTTTTAGATGTAGAAAAAGCCTTTGATAATGCAGTGGCATTTCTTGCTGGCAGTACTGAATAAAATGAACCCTAGAGAAGAGTTTCAAGCTTGGGTTAAAAGTATATACCAATGACAGAAAGCAAAGATTATGGCTAATGGAGCACTCTCTGCAAATTTCCAAATCAGTAAAGGAACAAGGCAAGGATGTCCACTCTTTTCTTTACTATTCTTCATTGTGTTAGAAATACTGGCAGAAAAAGTTTCAGGTGATAAACAAATAACTGGTCTCAAACTTTGTGGAGAGGAATATATGCAGATGATGTAATATTAAGCATCATAGAACCACAAAAGGCAATAAAACAGTTAATGAAAACAATTCATAGTTTTGGAGAATACTCTGGATATAAAATCAGTTTTCAAAAAACAAAATTACAAGATTTTTAATGCAAGGAGGAATCAATCTTCTGCAGGAAGAATCTGGCTATTGGATAGCTCACTCAGTGAAATACCTTGGATTATATCTGACAGGCAACAATGAAATCATATGGCTTTCTACCAGATTTCTCTTTCCACACGACTCTAAAAAGCTGGATGCCACGTTTAGTCTCCAACTTGCACAGGCCTTTGGACTGCAGCTCTGAGCCATACTGAAAAGTGATGCTACTTTCCACTACTCCCTCCTGGGCCTGAAATGCTTCTGTTGCCCCTTGTATGCTCCTGCCCACCATTCTCCAATCTTGCAAGAGTGGAGGAAGAATTTGAGGCTGAATGTATTTTGGATTCCTGGCATAGAAGTGACAGACTGGAAAATTGAATTCATTGAAAGGACTACCTAGACCAGTGTTTCTCAACCTTGGCAACTTGAAGATGTCTGGACTTAACTCCCAGAATTCCCCAGCCAGTAAGATGTCTGAAGTCCAGACATCTTCAAGTTGTTAAGGTTGAGAAACACAGACACAGAAAGCTGGTGTGGGTCTTCCGGGCCATCGTATGCCAGCCGTGAAAGCCTTCGACAATACACAGACACAAAGTTAATGGAAAGTGGCAGAGGACATTGAAACCCCTCACTTCTTTCAACCGTTCTATTTGCCATATCTTCCACAAGCTGAAACCACCCAACTGTCCTTCTATTCTGGCTTCACGTCCAGCAGGAGAGGAGAAACTAATTCAAGGAAGGGAAGAGACATATTTGTATGACTATTGAATAAGATACAGAGATTACCCACCTGAAGCTGAGAGAAACAAATCTTCCTCCTCCCACTTCTGACTTCAGAAGAAAGTAGAATATGACAAATTGATTTATGGTGTAATTGCTCTACAGGCTGGAATTAATTATCTGTCCTCAAAAGTAATGCTTTTATTACTATGTCAGCATGAGTATGCTATTGTTAAGTGAGTAGTTATGACTACATTCCATAAAAAGTTAATCAAGTTTTTAAATTAAAACTGAGCAAGCAACCTCTCACAGGTAGCAGAACTTTGATCTTTGAATCCTCTTCTTCTTCTCTGAAATCTGTGCCAGGTAGACATGATCCATACCATGCTGTCTTCCTCCCTGCATAGCAACCTTTATGTCAACTCCTCTGGTGTTCTTCCATACCCAGGAACTTGCATATCTTTGGTAGTCTGAAACTACCTAAATCCAATTTTCCTTGTTAGCCATCTTCTCATTTTTTCTCAGTCCAAGAACAACTCTCTCCCTATCAGCTCCTTATCCCATTTCAATTTCTTCCTACTCCCTTATGAGAGCTTCAGTGTGTGTGCATGCGTGCATTTGTGGAAAACCTCATCTGAATCTCAGTTACAAGTACAGCTTGTATTGCATGGTAGATCTCATGACAGGATGGCAGACAGTGTTAATCTGCTCCATTCTATCACACAAGGGTATGAAAAGTGCAAGATTTTGTCAGGTTCAGCCAAAGAAGAAATTGAAATTGAAGTCAATACAGTTGCCCAAATAGAGGGTACAATAACAGTTGTAATTCTCTCTTAGGCTTACTTTATACGTTTTTTCTCCAGACATGTTTCATCTCCATTGATAATTTGTTTGAAGCTTTTGATACGTTTTTGGAACCACCCTCCCTGGAATATAAAATATGGCTAAAAATTGCTCTTGATGTTGCTCTCAAAACTTTTAAGGAAAATCTTCCAAATCAGGTAGGCATATCTGCATGATTTTTATGATTTTAGTACAGTTGTTTTGCTATTACTCTCGCTTAAATTGTGCTGCAACTGAAATAGACTTCTCAGTGAAGAAGCTGGGAATTTTAATAATTGGTGTAGCTTGCAAATCCTGGCAATATTTATAGATAGTGATCAATGAATATCCCCATTCACTGGTTTCTAGAAAATGATTTCAGAATAGATTTTTGTATCTCTGCTATTTAAATATGTGGATTGTCAGCTTTGAGAAAGTGGGGAGAGAGGCTGATACACTATCATTTTGAATCAGAGACAGATGGAAGAACTCTGGAAGCAGTGGGAAGGACTGGAATACAGTGGTACCTCGGGTTACGAACGCCTCTGTTAACAAACTTTTCGGGTTACGACCA